TTGGCACGGACGTCCTTGAGGACAGGCAGGAGGAGTTCCAGTGCTTTGCCGCCGCTTTGCCCCATCTCGTGTCCATGCTTGTTGCCCCTGAGGGAGACCCGGATGCTCTAGACATCCCGACCCCACGCTCTTACGCAGAGGCGATGGCCGGTCCCTACTCCTCTCAGTGGCAGTCAGCCATGGACGCAGAGATGGCTTCCTGGAAGTCCACAGGCACCTACGTTGACGCTGTTCCCCCTCCTGGGGCGAACATTGTCAGTGGCATGTGGATCTTCAGGGTGAAGCGGCCGCCGGGTTCTCTGCCTGTCTTCAAGGCGCGCTACGTGGCTCGTGGCTTCAGTCAGCGACAGGGAGTTGACTTCTTTCAGACCTTCTCCCCGACCCCGAAGATGACCACTCTTCGGGTTCTACTGCACGTCGCTGCTCAGCGTGACTACGAGCTACACTCTCTTGACTTCAGCACTGCTTTCCTGCAGGGCTGCCTGCACGAGGAGATCTGGCTACGCCGCCCTCCTGGCTTCACTGGGTCGTTCCCTCCTGGTACCCAGTGGAGCCTCCGGCGGCCAGTCTACGGTCTCCGCCAGGCGCCGCGTGAGTGGCACGACACACTGAGGACTACACTTGCGGCTCTTGGGTTTGCTCCTTCTACTGCTGACCCGTCGTTGTTTCTGCGCACCGACACCTCGCTGCCGCCGTTCTACATCCTCGTGTACGTCGACGACTTGGTCTTTGCCACTGCGGACACTGCCGCACTCGCCCACGTGAAGTCCGAGCTGCAGAAGAGACACACGTGTACAGACCTGGGTGAACTGACAAGCTATCTTGGCTTGCGGATCACCCGGGACAGAGCACGCCGCACCATTACCCTGACTGAGTCACACATGGTGCAGCAGGTCCTTCAGCGCTTCGGCTTCACGTACTCCTCGCCTCAGTCCACTCCTCTGCCTACGGGACACTCGCTCTCAGCTCTGCCTTCGGATGAGTCCGTAGAGTCGAGTGGTCCGTATCCAGAGCTTGTGGGCTGCCTCATGTACCTGATGACTTGCACTCGACCTGACCTTGCATACCCTCTCAGCATCTTAGCACGCTATGTTGCTCCCGGCCGTCACCGGAAGGAGCACATGGATGCAGCTAAGAGGGTGTTGCGCTACTTGTGCAGTACGTCGGGCATGGGGCTCGTGCTTGGAGGGCGTGAGCGGCCTGTGCTCACTGGGCACTCAGACGCTTCTTGGGCAGACGACCAGGCTACTCAGAGGTCGTCTCAGGGTTACACCTTCAGTCTTGGCTCTGGCTCTGTCTCTTGGCGCTCTACTCGCTCTTCTTTGGTTCTCCGCTCCAGCTGTGAGGCTGAGATCTACGCCACGGCCATGGCTGCCCAGGAGCTTCGCTGGCTCACCTACCTGCTGACTGACCTTGGAGAGCGGCCTCGTTCTCCTCCAGTGCTGTACGTCGACAACAAGGCAACCATTGCCTTGTGTGAGGAGCACAGACTGGAGCACAGGACGAAGCACATTGCTCTGCGCTACTTCCTTGCTCGAGAGCTGCAGCAGCGTGGTCAACTTCGCCTGCGTTTCGTGGCCACTGAGGCCAACACTGCTGATGTGTTCACCAAGGCACTTCCGCCTCGTGACCATCAGCGCTTTTGCACTCTGCTAGGCCTTGTGCCCACTGGGCCTCACTTGCTTACCTCTTGACCTTGCTTGTACTGCTGCATATATATATCCTTGCTCTTGCTTGTTTTGCACTGTTATATATATATGCTCTGCTGCATGTGAACTGGCCTTGTGGCCTTGACCTTGTGCTCGGAATTTGTGTGGTATCCTTGAGATCCACCCTGAGCTTGCTTTGCTTTGCTTTGCTTTGCTTGACTGGTCTTGTGACCCCTTGCTCTCCCCCACTTTGCCTATGGGGGTGTGTCAGATGATTATATTACTGATGCATATATCTAGGCTGTAGTGGGGTAGCCCATAGGGGGTACAACCCAATTAGGGTTGGTACTTGTACTTGTTTCATTTCAAAGTGCACCCATTCCTCGCCTCTATCTCAACAAAAAGCAAATTGTGAATCATGAAAATTACATATCAAGAAACACATTAGCAATACATTTCCAAGCGTACACTCTCAACTCATTAGGGTCTCGGCCGGCCACATAGGAACATGTCGTGCCTTTCCCTGCACCAATCTGCACTCCCCCGGCCCTCCGCAGCGCAGACCAGCCTTGCCCCACCGCACATGCCCTGACGTGCACTGCCGCCAGCATCCTGCCACACATCTTGCTAACACTGCCAATCTCCATATTTTTGCCACGGCCCCTGCCTCCCTTCACCCTGTGCTTGCCATTTTGCCTCCCTCCCACGCCACTCCGCACTGACCATGCCGCACAACTCACTCCCTTACCCTTGCCCCATGATCCACCAGTTCGAATCCTTGCCTGCACAGTGCTGGCTGCTAGGCAAAGCGGCTCCCAATCCCTCCGTACATGCAGGGGCGGGGAACAGAGAGGGCACGGCCTCATAGGGCGCAGATCAGCAGAGGGTATGGGCCAGCAGGGGAGGCACATATAGAAAAAGACGTGGTTTGGGAGAGGTGGGATGGAAGGCGTGGACAGCAAGCGGCAGGCACAAGGCAGCACGTGCACCTTCCGGGCACACCTGCGCGCGGATGAGAAGGGAAGGTGGTAAGGTGGGCAGGCGGTAAGGTCGGCAGGCGGTAAGGTGTGCGAGGGTGAAGGAATAAGAACAGAGGGTGGGGAGACACAGGGAAAAGGGACAAGGAAACGGGTAACACAGAGACAGGGAAGGGGATGGGGGGAAGCAGGGAATGGGATGGGGGGAAGCAGGGAACGGGATGGGGGGAAGCAGGGAAGGGGATGGGGAGAAGCAGGGAAGGGGATGGGGGGAAGCAGGGAAGGGGATGGGGGGGAGCAGGGCAGAGGGTAGGGGGAAGCAGGGAAGGGGATGGGGGGAAGCAGGGAAGCGGATGGGGAGAAGGAGGGAAGGGGATGGGGGGAAGCAGGGAAGGGGATGGGGGGAAGTAGGGAAGGGGATGGGGGGAAGCAGGGAAGGGGATGGGGGGAAGCAGGGAAGGGGATGGGGGGAAGCAGGGAAGGGGATGGGGAGATGCAGGGCAGGGGGTGGGGAGAAGCAGGGAATGGGATGAGGGGAAGCAGGGCAGAGGGTGGGGGGGAGCAGGGAAGGGGATGGGGGGGAGCAGGGCAGAGGATGGGGGGGAGCAGGGAAGGGGATGGTGGGGAGCAGGGCAGAGGGTGGGGGGAAGCAAGGAACGGGATGGGGGGGAGCAGGGCAGAGGGTGGAAGGAATCAGGGCAAAGGGGGAAGAAGGGCTGGTGGGAGAACAGGTGGTTGGGAAAAACAGAGACAGGGGGCAACAATTTGGGGGAAGTGAGGGCGATGAGGGGAAGCGCGTGGGGGAAAAGAACATTTGCATACCCTTCTGTCCTATCCCCTCTATGTCTCTCATTCAGTCCCTTCCCCTCAGGAGGAAGAAGGGTGGAAGAAAGGGTGAGAGAGAGGTTCGAAGAAAGATAGATAGAGAGAGGGAGAGGGAGGGAGGGAGAGATGGAAGGGAGGAAGAGGAGAAGAGCGTATGACAAGAGGAATAGAATGTGGGGAGGAAGGCGGGTGGTATGTGGGGGAGATGGAGGCGGGTATGTGGGGAGGCGAGGGCGACGGGCAGAAGCGAGGGCGTTATGGCGATGAGGAAAACGAAGACGTTGAGGAGGAGAGCGAGAGATGAGAAGAAGTGCGGGTGACGGGGAAGCAAGGGCGACGACGGGAAGCGCGGGTGACGGGAGAGCAAGGGCGACGACGGGAAGCACGGGTGACGGGGAAGCAAGGGCGACGACGGGAAGCACGGGTGACGGGGAAGCAAGGGCGACGACGGGAAGCGCGGGCGACAAGCAGAGGCGAGGGCGGCGAGGGTCGGCGAGGGAGATGAGGGAAATTGCGGGCGAAGAGGAAAGCGGTATGACGTGGGAAAGAGCAGTCGATGAGGAGGAACATATGAGACTAACATCACCGCGCGTGTGGCGACCCTGTATGGCATTCGCGTTAGCGACCCGTGCCTAAAACGGTACGATCGGGACGCGAGGCTGAACCGCAGCAAGTGTGAAAAGAGCATCTTGTGCGACGCGAGCTTGAAAGCAAGGCGCGTGTAACGCGACGATTGTTCACTAACGGGTGAACGGGTTGTAACGCGAGACCGGCGACGTGAGGGGGAAATCGGAGCGTGCACTGACTAAGATGGTTGAGGTGGATACCTTTTTTTTTTCCGCACAAAAAAAAAGCCCTAACAACGACTCGCTTTTGCCAACTAGCGCTAGTTTTTGTCTTGGAGCCTCCTAGTCTATGAGTACGACTTGGTAAGCAAGTTATGTGAGTGGTGAACAGTGCATATGGTTGGCGATCATCGCGTCAGTTCTGTTTTTGGGCACTCGGGTTCCGTTGTCGCAGGACGATTGCCTGGGGTTGCGAGAGTTTCTTCAAAAAAAGTAGGGTAACCCTGTTTGTTCGACTTCAAGTTCAAGAATCTTGAACTTGAAAATTACCATGCTGTACCCGGGCTTTAAAACCGAAATAGAAAATAGTGAAGGCGTATCCAGCTTGAAATCGTGCTCGGAAGAAGCAAAAGTGGAACGACGCTGGGCTGTGTAAAACACTGTTACGGGCATCGCCCTTCCACGGACTGAACACACGTGATTCGTTCCCGCCAAAAGAAAAATTCAGATCGTGCTCGCGCGTTCGCATTTTCTGCGTGCGACATATGCACGACAGTTGTTTGTCGTGCGTTTTGATGGTTGGACCAAATTTCGGCTTTCAAGCTGGGCCTGGGTTCCACATATGCTTACTTCAACTCCGTTCACGTAGCTTGCCTAGCTCACGGAGCTTGCCTAGCATAGAATAGCTAGAGACGAGGGACTAGGCTGATGCGGCATAGAAATGAAATGATCATTAGATTGTGTGTGATACTTCGTCGCCGTTGATGCGTAGTGATATTTTCCTCGCGATCACAAAGAACTCCATTCCCGTCGCCATTCCTCTCACCCCTCTCATCGCCCACTACGCTATCCTCGAGTTCGCCAAATCGCCCTCCCGTCTCCCATTCCTTCGTGCGTCACGTCGCCATCTCGCCGCCCGTCCCGTCGCCCTCTTCGTCGCCCTCTCTCCCCTCATCTCCTCCCGCCGGCCTCTCTCTCGCCCCTCCCTACTGATCGCCCTCCCGTCGCTCTCCGCTCCCTTCCCGTCGCCCTCTCTCTCGCCCCTCCCTTCCCGTCGCGTTCTCTCTCTCTCTGCTCCCTTCCCGTCGCCCTCTCTCTCGCCCCTCCCTTCCCGTTGCGTTCTCTCTCTCTGCTCCCTTCCCGTCGCCCTCTCTCTCGCCCCTCCCTTCCCGTCGCGCTCTCTCTCTCCGCTCCCTTCCCGTCGCCCTCTCTCTCGCCCCTCCCTTCCCATCGCGCTCTCTCTCTCTGCACCCTTCCCGTTGCCCTCTCTCTCGCCCCTCCCTTCCCATCGCGCTCTCTCTCTCCGCTCCGCCCTCTCTCTCGCTCCTCCCTTCGAATCGCGCTCTCTCTACGCTCCCTTCCCGTCGCGCTCTCTCTCTCCGCTCCCTTCCCATTGCCCTCTCTCTTTCTGCTCCCTTCACGTCCTCCCTTCTCGCTCGCCTCGAATAGCCCTCCCGGCAACCTTCGACTCTCCCATCACGTATGCCCTCCTTTCTCTGACGCCTCTCTCGTTCTCCCTCTGCTATCGCGTCATCGTGACCCATGCCGTACTCTGCTATTGTGTGTTGTTTGTTTTTTAATTTATGTTTTTTTTTCGTCTTTCCATCTATTCTCGTCACCCTCTCTCCCAGTGCCTATCCTCTCTCCCGTCGCCTATCTTTTCTCCCGTCGCCCTCCCGTTTCCCGCCCCCCTCTTGTTTCCCGTCGCCCTCCCTTTTCCCATCGCCTTCACGTTTCCCGTCGCCCTCCCGTTTCCCGTCGCCCTCCCTTCTTCCGTCGCCCCCCAATTTCCTACGCCCTCCCTTCCCGTCGCCCTCCCGTTTCCCGTCGCCCTCCCTCTTTCTCTTCATTCGCATCACCTTGCCCATCATAATTTCCCCCCTGGTGCTGTTTTTCTCTTCTGTTCCCCGTTATTGCACCTCTCCCAGGCCTCAAGTCCAAGGCAGCACATTGATCATAGCTCTACTAGCTCTAATAACATTCAAACATTTTCACTCTCATCACGTACATGTGTGTCTGCTAGTTGTGAATTTGGTGAAGTAATGGCTGTAGTGAATGCAGGAGTGCTCGTCGCTCAACTTCGCACCAAATTCGCACATGTACATGTGAGAGAACTTGGCTGCCAATCAGAAATGACCATAAACTATCGTTCCTGGTCCAATAAGAAACTCGTCCGAAGGTCGGGAAAAAAAGCACACACACAGAACTTCCAACTTTCCAAAACAAAACAATATACTTCATCTTCAAGTGCACCCAACTAGAAGGGGGGGGGTCACTATTTTGACTGCTGGTTTTAAGGATTTAAACAAGATTATGCCACATTTCTTAAATAATTGTCACATACAGAATCTGTACATGTTAGCTCCACAGAAACGCAGGACACACCCAAACAAATTTGAGAAGGCAGTTCTGTATAACGAAGATAAAGACACCCCAAACTAACAGGATAGAAACCCACCTGGAACGACACAAATCCGCAGCTCTGACTAAGCAACATACGGATATTAACTTCGAGCATGTGATCAGATCGTATCAGATCAGACACAATTGAAGCAGAACCCCCGGTTCCGCCACACGCCCCATCCCTTAGGCCCCTTCGTGAACTGCCCCCGTGCCGCGCCGTCCGCAAACGCGGCAATCAGATCATATCAGATCAGACACAATTGAAGCAGAACCCCCGGTTCCGCCACACGCCCCATCCCTTAGGCCCCTTCCTGAACTGCCCCCGTGCCGCGCCGTCCGCAAACGCGGCAGTCTTAACAAGCCCATAGTACGACCCCGGCGCTTCCAGAAGGTTCTGCATGGCCACTAAGTACGTGTCGCCCTGGTCATTAGTGCGCGACGACGCGTCGCGAATCACTCCCCTAGAGTAATACGAGGACAAATTGTCGAGGGAGTTGTCTTTGCCGCCGCCAAAAAAGCCCCCCCCCCCAACCGCGACCCTTCTTCTTTTTGCCGTAGCGATGACCCGCCACGGCCTTCCCAGTAGTGTCCGTCCACGTGATGTCTGTTGTTAAGTCCATGACCACGTTCCCGTTAGTTCCTTCGGCTCCTTCGTTGACGGTGACGGACGTCGGCTCGCCGGAATTCGTCAGAGCGATGCCGACTTGGAAGTACAGGTCGTAGACGGTGTCGTTCCTGTAACGAGAGTGATAGAAATGGGAGGGTTTCAGACAAGGGTCAGAACGACAAGCATTGTTCGTCAAACGACCCCCCCCATCTCCTCCACCCCAGCTGGGAACGTAGAAAGTCCTTGTGCAGCGCACAGGGGTATTTTTTAGCAGACGAACACGCGATTGATGATTACCCCTTTCCCCTTCCCCACCTTAAAAACGTTAGTATAAATAAGAAATGATGATAATAATATGAATAGCAATCTTTCAAGCGCGCAGAGGTATTTCTTACTTGACGAGCACGAGATCGATGACCCCTGTGGCGTCCTTATCGCCAATCGAGGTCCCGCTAGCATCCACCGCCTGTTCACCGCGAAGCGTCGCGGACGCCGCTCCCGCGATCTTGCCTTTCCCCTTCTTTCCGAATTTCGGCCCCTTCCATCCTCCTCCCTTTCCGCCACCGCCCTTTCCGCCGCCGTTGCCGCCGCCTTTGCCGCCGCCTTTGCCGCCGCCTTTGCCGCCGCCTTCGCCACCGTCTTTCTTTCCAAGCGCACCTGACTCACGACAGAGAAGCGCACACATACACTTACGTCAGATGCGAAACGAACGACCTAAATAAAGGGAGCGGGACCATAGTAGCGGAGAGAGCTTACTGGTGGCGAGGAGAAGAGCCAACAGCAGAGACACGAGAAGCACCCGAGTGATCCTCATTGCGATAGATTTGTGCGTCACTGACGAAAACGAAGCGGAAGTGCTAACCCGATAGCGTTAACGCGCCAAACCAGCAAGTTTTTCTTATGCAGGGTAATTCGCTGAAGCGCAGCTGCACGAAGCTAGTGATCGTGTTGGGTGACGAGTTGGTTCTTACAGATAGAAGAGCTGATGACCGCTGTGATTCACAGAACGGAACGTTTATGCTGAGAGAGATGGGCTTGGCCTTGTTTCGAGTGGCGCAATTGGTGGCGGAAGAGGCGCGAGAGGCGCAAGCGAGGTTCGATGTGGTGGGGGTGGTTGCTATGCGGGAGTTGCGTGGGTTGGGTTGAGGGGGATGGGGTGGGGAAGAAATGGGTGGTCGGAAAGTTGGTTCAGAGAGCGGAGCGAGCTCGTTGAAGGGGGAGGGGAGGAGCGGGAGAGCTAGCGTGTCGTGGTGCGAAGTGCAGTGAATCTACTGTACACGGTTTAGGGTTGGCTGGTCAGAGGAGGGCAGTAGTGCAGCACTGCGGGCAGCAATTGCCGTGCCAACAGCAAGCAGCACTGGCACACTCGCTCACTCACATCACATCGAAGCAAACCCCGCCGTGCCTTGCCGCGTCGTCCCACTTGCCAATGGACGCATCTCACCTTCTCTTCCCAACCAAGCGGGAGAGGTTTGGTTTGGGAAATACATGACAAAATGTTGAGAGTTTTGTGAGCTCTCGGGATAGTATGAGACGCTCCCCGTGTTGTAACGAAAACTGTCCAAGATTATGAGCGAGAAATTGACAGTGCTGGTTTCTTTCACTCGCACACTCGCTCACTCACATCACATGACTCGCTCACTCACATCACAAACTCGTTTCTGCTGGTTCGTGAGTTACTTTTCAGCACTGGGGCATTATATCACTTGCAATATTCTGATTCGGGAATACGAACTGTAACGGTTGGGTTTTAGGGGAAACCCCCTTGCGAGACCCCCGCTGTCGAGCGTAATCCGCCTACCCACTTATTTACACGCCTCGCTGGGTATCGAGGTAGGACTATCCACTCCCAGATGAGCAGTGCGAAACCCCCTTCTGGGGGGCTGGCAGAACACGCCGGCACTGGGGTTGAGTCCAGAACCTCATCCTTCGGAAGTGCCCATTCTACTGACTGGGCCACGTCAAGAATCAGGTTCGGGAATACACTGCAGTATACAGTACAAACTGTGAACTTAACTGTATGGGTCACGAACTCTGTTGGAGCGGGCCTGGTCGGTGTGGTACAGTACACGCTGTTGTGGAGTGGTGGAGGCCCATGGATTCTGTTCATCACAAGCCCCACGACATGCCACGTCAGGAGTGTGCAGGCGAAGCAGATTGCCCATTTCGCGAATGCATGCGCGCTGCTGACGATGCGGAGTTCCACCTGATTAAGGGCACAAGTGTTGGTGAGCAAGAGACTGGTGGAGGGATGTGACAAACGACCATGACCTGCGGCACGCGTGAAACCTGGATGTGCGTTTTGGAATGTTTCGCCGTCCATCTCCCCACGGGCAGGCCTCTCTTTCCGTTTCATTTCAAGTCAGTCTTCCAGGTGGCGAGGCGAGTGGAAAAATCCTGATTTGTTGCTCAGTCATGTTTTCAGGAACCCCAGCGAGGTTCTGCCGTTGCATGCGGATTTGGTGAGCACTGAGCCATTGTTTTCTCCGGTTCGGAGGCTTGAGTGAGTGACTCGTTTGGACATGTTCTATTTTACTATTGAATGGCACACATCTGAGTGTAGTGCAGAAGAGCTATTTGAATAAGATGTTTGAAAAAATATAGCCAGTGTATAAGTAACACCCGTCTTCATCTAGCACGAAATAGAAGAACCGTTTTTTGACCCATTTGGGTTCAATTTTTCTTGACCTGTTGCTTCAGTGTGAATATTCCTGCTTTTGAGTACTTTACCAGGAATCTGATCTTCAAGTGACATATATGTTTTTTACATGTTCATAACAACATCTGTACAACCTGCTAAGGGGGCCTGTGCTCAATTAAGATAAAACATGCTGAAACTAGCAGCCCACTAGCTCTTTTTAGAAGCCCCCGCTATGCTTTGTACACTAATAGCTTCATGCAACAGGATCGGACACATCAGCAGTTGAATTTAAAGCAGAACCCCCGGTTTCGCCACACGCCCCATCCCTTAGGCCCCTTCCTGAACTGCCCCCGTGCCGCGCCTTCGGGATACATGTCAGTCTTAACGAGCCCATAGTACGACCTGGGCGAGTCCAAAAGGTTCTGCATGGCCACTAAGTACGTGTCGCCCTGCGCATTAGTGCGCGACGACGCGTCGCGAATGACTCCCCTAGTGTAGTACGAGTACATGTCCCTCAGAGAGTTGTCTCGGCCCCGGAACATGCGGCCTCCCCCCCAACCCCAGCCCTTCTTCTTCCGGCCGTAGCGCGGGCCCGCGGCAGTCCCGGTGGTGTTCGTCCATGTGATGTCTTCCGTCAAGTCGATGACCACGTTTCCGTTAGTTCCTTCGGCGCCTTCGTTGACGGTGACTGACGTCGGCTCGCCGGAATCCGTCAGCGCGATGCCTACTTGGAAGTGGAGGTCGTAGACGGTGTCGTTCCTGTAACAAGAGGGACAAAAACGGGAGATTACAAACAGGGGTCAGGGGCGCGTAATCGCGGTAAATCGACGGCCGAAAGCCATGGAAGACTAAAATTTTCCCCACTTTTCCCCATCCCCATCCTCGTTCCCACCCGCGGATCTAGGAATGGCCTGTCAAGCGCGCATGGGTTAACCTTACCGATCGAGCAGGAGATCGACGAGCCCGCCTTCCCTCTTCCCCATCGCCCATTTCCGGACTTCTTACACGACGGAAACACTGTCAAGAGCGAGGGGTAACCCAGTCAAGCGCGCAAGGCTTCTTACCGGACGAGCACGAGATCGATGACCCCTGTGGCGTTTTTATCGCCGATCGAGTTCCCGCTAGCGTCCACCACCTCTTCTCCACGCAATGTTGCCGACGCCGCTCCCGCGATCTTCTGCTTCCCCTTCTTGGGCCCCTTCCATCCCCCTCCCTTTCTGCCCTTCCCGTTGCCGCCGCCGTTTCCGCCGCCCTTTCCGCCACCCTTGCCACCGCCCTTTCCGTTGCCGCCGCCCTTGCCCTTCCCATTGCCACCGCCTTCACCCCCGTCCTTCTTTCCGAGCGCACCTGACACTCGAGGACGAAAAGGAAATATAGAGCACGTAAGTTATCTGCTTTTCAACAGACCTTATCTGTTCGAGGTGTTTTTCTTCCGCGGTCACCGAATTTCTGCAACAGACGGTTATGTCAGATGCGGAAGCGGATGTTCTCAACAGAGGAAGCGGAATCGTCACGGAGGGGGCATCATCACAAAAACCCCTCGTTTTTGAATCGCTTGGAAACGGGTCGAATTGGTTTCGGAAGTTGGGTTGCGTGGGTTGTCCAACCTTTTTCGCCCAACCACCAGCGTAAATGTGTCATTCTCAGATTTCGATCTGCTTTCGCGCATCCGAACCGACTCGCGAGACATTGTGCGCCTCGGCGAACCGAAATTGGCCCAATTTCGGTCAATGTCAGGTGTACAGTGCTCTTTTGACCAGGTTGAAAAAGCAGTTTCGAGAATGGGGTGCATTGGTTTCCCGCAAATATTTCTGGGTCACCGAGCCACAGCTTTGCTTGGCGCACGACGAGACGTGGCGATAGGGTGCGTTTGGGCCCTGCAAAAATGGTCTCGCATAGGAGTAATTATGGACCAAGATGAGCCTACAGTGTTTCTTGAAAACAAATTTTACATCAAGTCAAAGTTATGTCTTATAATATTGAAAGGCTGCTGGTTAAACAATCACATGTGCATGTACATATATACCCTGTACAGTCATTAGTTGTTATTGCATGTAATCTTGCCTCTTAATACAAAACAGGTTTGGTTGCCTATGAAAAAGTACAGATGCGCGTAGGATTTATATCTAATTTAGCAGGTACTTGTTAAGATAGAATGCATTTTCGCAGTGGTAAGACTTGGTAATGTGCACCTGGCGCAGTATGCTTTCAGTGTCAATCACTGAGTAGCGCGATACCCCAGTTGCCCACCTAAGACGTTTGCACCCTGTTTTTGCATCCTCGCCTGCGCTTGACCAGTACTTCACATATGCCCACTCCTTCGTGCACCCTCTCTCTTTCGTATGGAACATCAGCAAGAGCCTTCCGTACCACTCCGTCTCTTCACCTGTCGCTGTTGTTCCCACGATGGCAACATCAGAGAACCACGGCCTAGAGTGAGACAGCGGGGCTGCTTTCTTCACGGGCGAAACTCGCATCTTCTGCAGCAGGGATGGCAAGTGTTGTGTGAGCCTGCAACCAGTAAGAGACACAAATCATTACAAAGTAACATTCAGTTACATATGGTATCTGCTTGATGTCACCATTGTCACCACTTACACGAACTTTCGTTGGCCTCAGCTGGCGTCGAAGCAATGCACCCGCAAAGGCATGGTGTGCCTCGCTGTGGAGCTTCGCCCACTCACGGACAAACCAGTTGGCAATGGGAGTGACGTCATCGGGTTTCACGTGGAAGAAGTAAGACTCCTTCACCATCACCCGAGCTCCATCCTCGATGGCCTGGCACGTGTCAGAAAAGGCAGAGATTGGAAAAAAAGCACACCATTCTCCCCCTTCGTTTGCTCCCCTCCCTGCCCTGCACTTCCTCTTTCACTGCCCCCTCCCCTGCCTTGAGCTAACTCTTCCCCTGCTACCCACCAAGGACCTACCGGCAAACTTTCCATGCCACCCAGCCCGAGCTGTCCCGCCAGGCACTCCTACTCACCGCATTCACCATCTCAGCACTCACCCTCCCATCACCGCACTCACCATCTCAGCACTCACCCTCCCATCTCAGCACTCACCCTCCCCTCACATCACAGCACTCACCATCTCAGCACCTCCCCTCACAGCACTCACCATCTCAGCGCCTCCCCTCACAGCACTCACCATCTCAGCACCTCCCCTCACAGCACTCACCATCTCAGCACCTCCCCTCACAGCACTCACCATCTCAGCACCTCCCCTCACAGCACTCACCATCTCAGCGCCTCCCCTCACAGCACTCACCATCTCAGCACCTCCCCTCACAGCACTCACCATCTCAGCACCTCCCCTCACAGCACTCACCATCTCAGCACCTCCCCTCACAGCACTCACCATCTCAGCACCTCCCCTCACAGCACTCACCATCTCAGCACCTCCCCTCACAGCACTCACCATCTCAGCACCTCCCCTCACAGCACTCACCATCTCAGCACCTCCCCTCACAGCACTCACCATCTCAGCACCTCCCCTCACAGCACTCACCATCTCAGCGCCTCCCCTCACAGCACTCACCATCTCAGCACCTCCCCTCACAGCACTCACCATCTCAGCACCTCCCCTCACAGCACTCACCATCTCAGCACCTCCTCTCACAGCACTCACCATCTCAGCACCTCCCCTCACAGCACTCACCATCTCAGCACCTCCCCTCACAGCACTCACCATCTCAGCACCTCCCCTCACAGCACTCACCATCTCAGCAACTCCCCTCACAGCACTCACCATCTCAGCACCTCCCCTCACAGCACTCACCATCTCAGCACCTCCCCTCACAGCACTCACCATCTCAGCACCTCCCCTCACAGCACTCACCATCTCAGCACCTCCCCTCACAGCACTCACCATCTCAGCACCTCCCCTCACAGCACTCACCATCTCAGCACCTCCCCTCACAGCACTCACCATCTCAGCACCTCCCCTCACAGCACTCACTATCTCAGCACCTCCCCTCACCGCACTCACCATCTCAGCACCTCCCCTCACAGCACTCACCATCTCAGCACCTCCCCTCACAGCACTCACCATCTCGGCACCTCCCCTCACAGCACTCACCATCTCAGCACCTCCCCTCACAGCACTCACCATCTCAGCACCTCCCCTCACGGCACTCACCATCTCAGCACCTCCCCACACAGCACTCACCATCTCAGCGCCTCCCCTCACAGCACTCACCATCTCAGCACCTCCTCTCACAGCACTCACCATCTCAGCACCTCCCCTCACAGCACTCACCATCTCAGCACCTCCCCACACAGCACTCACCATCTCAGCGCCTCCCCTCACAGCACTCACCATCTCAGCACCTCCTCTCACAGCACTCACCATCTCAGCACCTCCCCTCACAGCACTCACCATCTCAGCACCTCCCCTCACAGCACTCACCATCTCAGCACCTCCCCTCACAGCACTCACCATCTCAGCAACTCCCCTCACAGCACTCACCATCTCAGCACCTCCCCTCACAGCACTCACCATCTCAGCACCTCCCCTCACAGCACTCACCATCTCAGCACCTCCCCTCACAGCACTCACCATCTCAGCACCTCCCCTCACAGCACTCACCATCTCAGCACCTCCCCTCACAGCACTCACCATCTCAGCACCTCCCCTCACAGCACTCACCATCTCAGCACCTCCCCTCACAGCACTCACTATCTCAGCACCTCCCCTCACCGCACTCACCATCTCAGCACCTCCCCTCACAGCACTCACCATCTCAGCACCTCCCCTCACAGCACTCACCATCTCAGCACCTCCCCTCACAGCACTCACCATCTCAGCACCTCCCCTCACAGCACTCACCATCTCAGCACCTCCCCTCACAGCACTCACCATCTCAGCACCTCCCCTCACAGCACTCACCATCTCAGCACCTCCCCTCACAGCACTCACTATCTCAGCACCTCCCCTCACCGCACTCACCATCTCAGCACCTCCCCTCACAGCACTCACCATCTCAGCACCTCCCCTCACAGCACTCACCATCTCAGCACCTCCCCTCACAGCACTCACCATCTCAGCACCTCCCCTCACAGCACTCACCATCTCAGCACCTCCCCTCACACCAATCGCCATCTCAGCACCTCCCCTCACAGCACTCACCATCTCAGCACCTCCCCTCACGGCACTCACCATCTCAGCACCTCCCCACACAGCACTCACCATCTCAGCGCCTCCCCTCACAGCACTCACCATCTCAGCACCTCCCCTCACACCAATCGCCATCTCAGCACCTCCCCTCACAGCACTCACCATCTCAGCACCTCCCCTCACAGCACTCACCATCTCAGCACCTCCCCTCACAGCACTCACCATCTCAGCACCTCCCCTCACAGCACTCACCATCTCAGCACCTCCCCTCACAGCACTCACCATCTCAGCACCTCCTCTCACAGCACTCACCATTTCAGCACCTCCCCTCACAGCACTCACCATCTCAGCACCTCCCCTCACAGCACTCACCATCTCAGCACCTCCCCTCACAGCACTCACCATCTCAGCAACTCCCCTCACAGCACTCACCATCTCAGCACCTCCCCTCACAGCACTCACCATCTCAGCACCTCCCCTCACAGCACTCACCATCTCAGCACCTCCCCTCACAGCACTCACCATCTCAGCACCTCCCCTCACAGCACTCACCATCTCAGCACCTCCCCTCACAGCACTCACCATCTCAGCACCTCCCCTCACAGCACTCACCATCTCAGCACCTCCCCTCACAGCACTCACTATCTCAGCACCTCCCCTCACCGCACTCACCATCTCAGCACCTCCCCTCACAGCACTCACCATCTCAGCACCTCCCCTCACAGCACTCACCATCTCGGCACCTCCCCTCACAGCACTCACCATCTCAGCACCTCCCCTCACAGCACTCACCATCTCAGCACCTCCCCTCACGGCACTCACCATCTCAGCACCTCCCCACACAGCACTCACCATCTCAGCGCCTCCCCTCACAGCACTCACCATCTCAGCACCTCCTCTCACAGCACTCACCATCTCAGCACCTCCCCTCACAGCACTCACCATCTCAGCACCTCCCCTCACAGCACTCACCATCTCAGCGCCTCCCCTCACAGCACTCACCATCTCAGCACCTCCCCTCACAGCACTCACCATCTCAGCACCTCCTCTCACAGCACTCACCATCTCAGCGCCTCCCCTCACAGCACTCACCATCTCAGCACCTCCCCACACAGCACTCACCATCTCAGCGCCTCCCCTCACAGCACTCACCATCTCAGCACCTCCTCTCACAGCACTCACCATCTCAGCACCTCCCCTCACAGCACTCACCATCTCAGCACCTCCCCTCACAGCACTCACCATCTCAGAGCCTCCCCTCACAGCACTCACCATCTCAGCACCTCCCCTCACAGCACTCACCATCTCAGCACCTCCCCTCACAGCACTCACCATCTCAGCGCCTCCCCTCACAGCACTCACCATCTCAGCACCTCCCCACACAGCACTCACCATCTCAGCGCCTCCCCTCACAGCACTCACCATCTCAGCACCTCCTCTCACAGCACTCACCATCTCAGCACCTCCCCTCACAGCACTCACCATCTCAGCACCTCCCCTCACAGCACTCACCATCTCAGCACCTCCCCTCACAGCACTCACCATCTCAGCGCCTCCCCTCACAGCACTCACCATCTCAGCACCTCCCCACACAGCACTCACCATCTCAGCGCCTCCCCTCACAGCACTCACCATCTCAGCACCTCCTCTCACAGCACTCACCATCTCAGCACCTCCCCTCACAGCACTCACCATCTCAGCACCTCCCCTCACAGCACTCACCATCTCAGCACCTCCCCTCACAGCACTCACCATCTCAGCACCTCCCCTCACAGCACTCACCATCTCAGCGCCTCCCCTCACAGCACTCACCATCTCAGCACCTCCCCTCACAGCACTCACCATCTCAGCACCTCCCCTCACAGCACTCACCATCTCAGCGCCTCCCCTCACAGCACTCACCATCTCAGCACCTCCCCTCACATCACTCACCATCTCGGCACCTCCCCTCACCGCACTCACCATCTCAGCACCTCCCCTCATCGCACTCACCATCTCAGCGCCTCCCCTCGCAGCACCTACCTTTTGCATAGCCGTTTGCACGCCTTGGTCGGTGGCCACGTTGCTGATGGAGTCAAGCTTCATCTCGTGGTGCTTCATGATCTGCGTGTCCACTTTCCGCTTATTCGATCTCCTGTAGATTTGCTTCAGCAGGGTGCTATGCAGGTGTTCGAAGAGGTTGGTGCTGTACTCTTGCACATTCCCAGCTCGTCGAATGCCAGGGATGAAATGAGTCATCAAGTGTGTTTTGATGAGGTTCCACCTTGATTTCTGCTCGGGGAAGGCAGCCGTGAGTAGTTTCACCAGCCTGGGATGGGTGGGAGCATGAATAAATGAAGGAGTATATGGATAAGCGTTCAATTTGTAAGGGATGGAATCACTAGGGGAGTTAGATGGTTTAGGTTGTTTCGTTTGGTGAGGTACCTTGTTGATTTGGCTTGTAGTTCGGAAAGACTTCTCTCGGTGTGAGAGGCGGCGTTGCAGCAGAGATACCAGTCAAGGTATGCTCTGATGGCCTCCAGCTGGGGCGAGCCGACAACGTCAGCCACCAAAAAGATCAACACCTGGATGCATGCAGCATGGTGTGTAGGAAAGGTGAGAGAAAAGATTGAAGGAGCTTCTTCCCATGAATGACTTCAAGCGAGTTTACAGCAGTGCCTTCTCCACCAGCCCATCTTCTCTCCCCTTCCTCTTCCGTCCCTGCCCAGCTCGGCCCACTGTTCCCACCCTCCCCCTTCCACCTCTCCATGGTCTGCAAGGCCTCTAAGCATCATACCTGCATGACCGATCGATGTTCAAAAGCTGCGACTTGTGCCCCGGTTTTGAAGTATTCGCTCTTCGGAAAACGCAAAGAGTTGATCCGTGTTTTCAGGGTGAGCCGTAGAAGGCGCCTGCGTACGGTGGGATGGAAAGATTTCGGATATGGGGGGCGGCAGATCAGGATGGAATAAAGTTGAGCTGACACACTACCATGTGCTCACAAATGTAGGCTTGACATGCCAACATTGTAACGATGGCTTCTTGAAGGGGCATCTCCAGGCGGGTGGTCCAAGGGGTACTCACAAATCCAGAATCTTCATCATCGTTGGGTGTTGGGCGCGGATGCACACCACGATGTGGTCCAGCATCCCCAGGTCTGCCTGGTGCATGATGTCCGCCATGACAGCGAGAAAAGGATTTCCCCACGGCAATGATCCAACCTGCCACTTCCATAAAGCACACTGTGCTTGTGGTACAGCGCAGCAGGGAATGCGATGGTTAGGGAAACACTTGACACCAATAGACACCAGAGGTTGCTGTGTCTATGAGCCTACGAGCTGGCATCAAATACATACGTCGATGTCGAACGTTGAGTACAACTTCAGCGGATTGTCATCCGCTCCGGCAGCGACTCCAGCTGCCTCGTCTCTAACCCACTGCTGTTGTGCGGGTGTGCGAACGTTGTTGAGTAGCTCCACAGATGACAGGCTTTCCTGTGGTGGGCGTTGGAATTTTTAGCATAAAGGGGACGAGCAAGAGAGACCATTAGACACACACATACACAGACATGTGGACATGTGGTTGGTTGCTGCTCACCATCCCAGCACTTACCATCCCAGCACTCACCATCCCAGCACTTACCATCCCAGCACTCACTATCCCAGCACTCACCATCCCAGCACTCACCATCCCAGCACTCACCATCCCAGCACTCACCATCCCAGCACTCACCATCCCAGCACTCACCATCCCTATCACTCACCATCCCAGCACTCACCATCCCAGCACTCACCATCCCTATCACTCACCATCCCAGCACTCACCATCCCAGCACTCACCATCCAGCACTCACCATCCCAGCACTCACCATCCCATCACTCACCATCCCATCACTCACCATCCCAGCACTCACCATCCCTATCACTCACCATCCCAGCACTCACCATCCCAGCACTCACCATCCCAGCACTCACCATCCCAGCACTCACCATCCCATCACTCACCATCCCATCACTCACCATCCCAGCACTCACCATCCCATCACTCACCATCCCATCACTCACCATCCCAGCACTCACCATCCCAGCACTCACCATCCCAGCACTCACCCTCCCATCACTCACCATCCCATCACTCACCATCCCAGCACTCACCATCCCAGCACCCCCCCCCCTCCCAGCACTCCCCATCCCACCACCGCCCATCCTTGCCATCCCCATTCCAGCACCTCCCATCCCAGCACATCCCCACCCCGAGTGTACATGTTGACGTACCCTGTCGACATAGCAGAGGCTGCACGGCTTCATGCAGCCCTGGCCAGATTTGGTGCATGTCAGTTTCCCGGACTCGGGATAGTCACAAGCCCAAGCGTACAGCAAAGGAACGACCCATCGCTCGATGCCCTCTGAGTCCAGCAGCATGACACCACTGCACAGTTTTCGGGCAGCCATGAAACAGGGTGGAAACACAGGCTGGTTAACAATATTCATTACTTCCAAGCACCGCACTCCTTTTATGGGGCATGACTCACCAATAAGATAAAGATTCGGTACACACCAGCATTTGCACCACTCACTTGTCTTTAAGGCAGAGAAATGGCTCAATTAGCTTAGCAATACACGCGTTGTAGAGCTCCACCTTCAAGTGCGACGGCATGTTCGAGGGTGGGATGGGTAACAGCGCCAACAGGGAGTGCCCGGGCCGGCCCCAGCGTTTGGGGAATGCAATATTCCCCAGTGTCATCACGACCGGGTGCGCCTTCTTCCTCCCGTTGTTGCTCAAGTGCGTGACGTCACTGTACAGTATCAGCGCCGCAACGATCTTGTCCATGCCAATGAATTCCTGCACATAACGCAAAGAATGGATAGATTGGGTCGAGGGGAAAGGCAATGTCTCTGCGCGGTAAACATTGCTGACTCGAAAAGGGCACAACAGCTGAAAGCTGGGACCATGCATGGTGAGTGGTAGGTGTGGAACATATGCAAGGTGCGAGTGATGTGAGGGGAGTGTAAACTACCCATCACCTTGCACTCACAATCTCTGCACCTCCCGTCCCATCACTCACCATCTCTCGCAACTGCAAAAAGCTATCAATAGCCCTCACCTGTGCTTCTTGCCACCATGTGCCGGTTTCTGCAGTGGAATATGCCCGATGCCCACTCTCGCTGTCCTTGTCTCTCCTCGGTCCCATTCTGAAGCCAGGCGCATTGTGCTTGTGCCTAAACATATCCGCCAGGGCCTGCAATATCATATACAGCACGTACATAGGCCGGTTAGCACCCTACACAATATGAGAGTGACGCATGATGCCGCCAGGACATGTAGTCAAGCCAATGCCCTTCAGTTTCATCCCGGGTACCCGAAACTACGTCAGCAAACTCACCCTCAGTGGATCGCGGTGAAGCATCACTTGCGGTGGAAAGCCCTCCACATAAAATGTGGTCGACTCGAATCCACGTCCCGTGTCAGCCAGATATTCCTTCTGTAGCATCTCCACATCACGGAAGCTACGGACATTCCCCTCTACCAGCAGCGGGGCCAACTCTGGATGGATAATTAGCTGCAGCACCTTGTTAGTATCCATGTTCGATAAGCCCATGCCGCCATTCAGCGAATCGAGTTGCTCCAACAGGTGTATCAAAGCGGGATGGATGTCGCTGCCATCGGGAAACGAAGGCCTGGCAGCAGAACCGAATCCAGGATTATCTGGACATGTGGTTGGGGGCTGCTCCGCCCCTTGGCTGGACGACTGGGGCGTTGAGGGGTGTGGAGAAGATCCTTCAGGATCAACACGACTCTCACAGCCCACGCCACTAGACGATGTTGGCAGTGTCTCTTGAGTTGCATCTTGAGACGCGGAACTGCCATGTCTGACGAAGTGCGGGAGCGATGCAGGCACAATGTATGCTATGTTAGGGCGCCTATGACCACTGCCTGCGCGATGCTCTGCAGAGTTGGGGTTGCAGGGTGTGTTGCCAGCCCGGTGCCTTCCTAGGACGAAACAGTCTGAAAACTCTCGTCCACAGTGTGCACACCGAACAGGACTAGAACGATCCATGGCAGCGCGACATTAGTCCGTCGTTCCTTTGCCTCTGCATATCGCCGTGGCGTTTAAATACACACCCGCTACAAAGAGTCGATGAATAGCGAGAAGGCCATTCAATATAAGGTAGCGGATGGACATCGTGACGGGGAATAACGCTACAGTGCGAGCTACCCAAAGGCACGACAGCCATGTGATTACGACGAGTCGCTGACGGCGCGACCTGGGGGCACGATATGAGGTGCAATACACGAATCGCGAGGAGGCGGATCGGGAACCTTGACGAAATTAGGGTTTGCAGCCTTCAGGATAGGGTTGGTGTGTGCGTGCAGTGCCTGATTCCCTGTGCCTCATACCACGACTTCAAACTTTCGAAAGTCGACTGCAATGCTATTCACGATTTAGACACAACACTGTGCACACAAATGATAAGACGTATGCATAACAAAATGTGCCATTCATAGATTTGAACAATGATATTAACTGAACCCACTATCAAAAATTATGTAACCATGGTTTCATTTAACCGACCCTACTGACTACTGACTATTGGACTAATATGTTATAGGATAGGAGATCTGGTCTTGCCCCATACGACGGCCTGAATCGCAGTAAAATATGGCGTTTTATGCCATCTTCCAAACAACCAACCTAGAGTGCTCCGCAGTAACTGAAAATGGGATTGAAGGTCCACAGCACAACTTAGAGTCACCACACAAAGAATCAGCTCAATCCAATATGTGGCGGGCAGGTAATCATGCCTTGCCCCATAAGGCTGCGGAAATCGCAGCAAAATCAGCTAAACTGTGATATCTTCCAAACAACCAACCTAGGGTGATCCGCAGGAGCTGAGAATGGGATGGGAGTTTCATAGCACTAACTAGAGACACCACACAAATAATCGGCTCATTCCAATATGCGGCGGGCAGGTAATCATGCCTTGCCCCATAAGGCAGCGAAAATCCTAGCTAAACTACCGTAGCTCATCTTCCAAACAACCAACCTAGGGTGCTCCGCAGGAGCTGACGTTGGGATGGGAGGATCATGATACCATTAATAAGATCCTCCCAGGAGTGCATCCCAATCCAAAATGTCTAGGCTATCAATCGGCGCATTTCCCCATAAGCCTGCCCAGAACTTGTACAGAACAGCATTCGGTAGCACGTTTGTCGAACGACCAACCAAACATGCTCCGACGAGGCCCATTTTGGGATGGGAGGATCATGATACCATTAATAAGATCCTCCCAGGAGTGCATCCTAATCCAAAATGTCTAGGCTATCAATCGGCGCATTTCCCCATAAGCCTGCCCAGAACTTGTACAGAACAGCATTCGGTAGCACGTTTGTCGAACGACCAAGCAAACGTGCTCCGACGAGGCCCATTTTAGGAAGGGAGCATCATGATACCATTAATAAGATCCTCCCAGGAGTGCATCCCAATCCAAAATGTCTAGGCTATCAATCGGCGCATTTCCCCATAAGCCTGCCCAGAACTTGTACAGAACAGCATCCTAAAGCACGTTTGTCGAACGACCAAGCAAACGTGCTCCGACAAGGCCCATTTTAGGAAGGGAGCATCATGATACCATTAATAAGATCCTCCCAGGAGTGCATCCCAATCCAAAATGTCTAGGCTATCAATCGGCGCATTTCCCCATAAGCCTGCCCAGAACTTGTACAGAACAGCATTCGGTAGCACGTTTGTCGAACGACCAAGCAAACGTGCTCCGACGAGGCCCATTTTAAGAAGGGAGCATCATGATACCATTAATAAGATCCTCCCAGGAGTGCATCCCAATCCAAAATGTCTAGGCTATCAATCGGCGCATTTCCCCATAAGCCTGCCCAGAACTTGTACAGAACAGCATTCGGTAGCACGTTTGTCGAACGACCAAGCAAACGTGCTCCGACGAGGCCCATTTTAGGAAGGGAGCATCATGATACCATTAATAAGATCCTCCCAGGAGTGCATCCAAATCCAAAATGTATAGGCTATCAATCGGCGCATTTCCCCATAAGCCTGCCCAGAACTTGTACAGAACAACATTCGGTAGCACGTTTGTCGAACGACCAACCAAACGTGCTCCGACGAGGCCCATTTTAGAAAGGGAGCATCATGATACCATTAATAAGATCCTCCCAGGAGTGCATCCCAATCCAAAATGTCTAGGCTATCAATCGGCGCATTTCCCCATAAGCCTGCCCAGAACTTGTACAGAACAGCATTCGGTAGCACGTTTGTCGAACGACCAAGCAAACGTGCTCCGACGAGGCCCATTTTAAGAAGGGAGCATCATGATACCATTAATAAGATCCTCCCAGGAGTGCATCCCAATCCAAAATGTCTAGGCTATCAATCGGCGCATTTCCCCATAAGCCTGCCCAGAACTTGTACAGAACAGCATTCGGTAGCACGTTTGTCGAACGACCAACCAAACGTGCTCCGACGAGGCCCATTTTGGGATGGGAGGATCATGATACCATTACTAAGATCCTCCCAGGAGTGCATCCCAATCCAAAATGTCTAGGCTATCAATCGGCGCATTTCCCCATAAGCCTGCCCAGAACTTGTACAGAACAGCATTCGGTAGCACGTTTGTCGAACGACCAACCAAACGTGCTCCGACGAGGCCCATTTTGGGATGGGAGGATCATGATACCACTACTAAGATCCTCCCAGGAGTGCATCCCAATCCAAAATGTCTAGGCTATCAATCGGCGCATTTCCCCATAAGCCTGCCCAGAACTTGTACAGAACAGCATTCGGTAGCACGTTTGTCGAACGACCAAGCAAACGTGCTCCGACGAGGCCCATTTTAAGAAGGGAGCATCATGATACCATTAATAAGATCCTCCCAGGAGTGCATCCCAATCCAAAATGTCTAGGCTATCAATCGGCGCATTTCCCCATAAGCCTGCCCAGAACTTGTACAGAACAGCATTCGGTAGCACGTTTGTCGAACGACCAAGCAAACGTGCTCCGACGAGGCCCATTTTAGGAAGGGAGCATCATGATACCATTAATAAGATCCTCCCAGGAGTGCATCCAAATCCAAAATGTATAGGCTATCAATCGGCGCATTTCCCCATAAGCCTGCCCAGAACTTGTACAGAACAACATTCGGTAGCACGTTTGTCGAACGACCAACCAAACGTGCTCCGACGAGGC